ACATCAATAAAAGCTTGGTCAATCAACTGAGCAAAGTTAGAGACGTTAAGGAACTCTGCAATATAATGCCTCGACCACCAGTTGTATAACTTTTGAGTGTAGAGGTGAGAAGGCTCAAAGTAGACAAGAGTAAGGAGTGATTTATGAGCGTGTCGAGCGAGTTGTGTTGAACCCTCTATGGCATTATAGATAGTATGGGGAAGGATCACATAGACCTTCTTTTCATACAGACACTTGGGCAGAGTTTGGACCAGGCCAAATTGTCGAGAGACAAGATTTAGTTGGTAGGCCATTAATGTTGTTTGGCCCCTCAGGAGGTTGAGTCGATGAACAATGAGTCGGGGGATTAGAAAACCCTCCCAAACAAGCTTCGAATTTGCCTCATGTTTCTTGAATGTCGGAGTGAAGGCCCTAATAAACCATTCAGGACCATACTTTCTTTCTGCAAATGGGGCCATTCTTGGTGTAAATTCATATCGCTTGCCAAACATTTTGATGAAGCCAGAGAAGGACGCCTAAGTTTCTTCCCTTCTTCGCTAGGGGTTATCTTCACCAGTCGAGTCCATTCGACTCGCCTCTCCTTGATTTCTATAGATTCCTTGTCGACAGTCCCTTTGTTAGGGAGATTAGTTTCAAATGTGGCATTAAGCCAAAGTTAGAGCAGCCAGAAGGGTCCTGACAGCAAGAGATTCCCATTGTTTTCTTAGTCTTTCAGTCGACCAGCACCTTCACTTAAATACTCATACAAACTAGCCAATATCATTTCACTCAGGCAAACGCCTCGATTAAGGTGTAATTGGTTGGCTAGAGTTAGGTATTTCCTGGTCACTTGTAGAGATTTGGTGCAAAATACACAGCGAGAAAGCCACATAGCCAGAAATGCTATGTGCTATTGATCTTCGACTGTGTCAGTTTTTTTGTCATGGTAATGGTTTATGAAATGGGTGTAAGTGTGTTTGGTGGTTGAGAACCCTATGGTGTCTTGAGCATCTACCTCAGGGTCATAAACTAATCCATGTGGTTTTAGCCCTGTAATAACGGCTATGTCGAAGAGGGTGGGTGTCATCATCCCACAAGGGAGATGGAATGTATAATGGGTATTATCCCAAAAATATAAAGAAGAAGCTAACAGAGTCGGACAATAATTAGGACATGTCTTCGACATCATAATCAAGTCATAAATCCCTATTTCCTTCCAAGTCTCTGCTTTGACATTTTCTACCTTGGTTAACCAGTTTAAGTAGAGGTCAACATCTTTGAAGTATGGGGTTGCTCTAAACAACCTAGACCCATTTTTCAAATACTTTAAATCTATGTTCTTTAGGGATACACTATCATGAGGCTCAGCGGTTACCCTAGCTTGATCCTTTTGCCCTAAGGGTTTAGTTTTACGATATGAAGAGAAGAAGTCATTAATAGTTGCATAATCTACACACAAAGTAGATAAAGGACCAGATAGAGCTAATGGTTTCTCAGAAACGGTCACAGGAATCAATACCTGGGATTCGTAGATGTCTTTTTTCTTCCTTGAAGGGTTCTGGGATGAATTGTTGATTCTTCACCACCTTGGATCCACTCAATGTAGAAAAAGGAGGAAGTAGTGACACGCTTTTTGGCCCTTTGACCTTCAGATTTTTCTTTTGATCTTGAGTAGTAGAATTTAAAAACGCTATTGTTAAAGACTTGAAGAAAATGGATTTACTGAAGGTGAAGAGTTAAAAGTGTTTGAAAGAGAAGAAAACGTTTAATGAGTGCTTTGGAGTTGGAAAAGTAAAAATAGTTTCAGAAAGAACTGTTTATAAAGTGTGTAGAAGTAATAAAAGGTCACTAATCATCATTAGGGGCTAAAAGCTAGTGGGACACGTGGCCTTCCAGGAGCAAAAGTGGGGGCGGTGGCCTTTATTACCTATGCCCACGATCTCATAGATCCTAGGAGAGGTGATAATGGTCTGGGATTTGATGTGATTTCCAAGGAGTTGTTTTTTATAATTGGCCATGACGTCATGAATATGATTGAAAAGAAACTGAACAGTTTCTTGAGACGTGGGTTGGTCAGTTACGTTGACACCTATGTGGGGTCGAAAGATGGCGTCAAATAGGACACTATCAAAAAATGACCTTTTTCTTCAGTACTGTCGAAAAGGACATTTTTTGGGGGGAGAGGGGGCAATTTGTTAGCTCAAAAATTCGACGCCCATATTAAGTTGGAAGTGTTGATTGGAATGTTAAACTCTTGAAGAGGTTTTAAAGGAGTTTTCAACTGAGTCTTCATGATAGGTTTAAGTCGAAGGTAAAGGATACTTTTTGGACTTAGAAAATATTTCTAAGAGTTGGGAAGCTACCTTCGACCGAGAATACTAATGATGTTCGATGCTAAGGGAATTCAAAATTCAAAAAACGGAGGGAGTAGTTACTCTTGTCCGTTCCTGAATAAGATAAGTGGCCCACATCCAAGGGGCAGAAGCATGCAATGCGACACTTGTCATATGTTAATTATTTTAGGAAGTTAACCGCAGTTAGTTTTGTTATTATAAATAGGAGTTTTAGAAATAGGATTGTGGGTGTTCGCTTTGTACAAGTTACTCCAAGTTTACTCAAAGTATCCGCGTGTAGAGAAAAGAGTCTTGGGAGAATGTACATGATGTAAACACCATTTTCTTTTTTAATGAAATTTACTTTAACTTTTCATCAAAATTTTATTTTTTACTTTACTGCAAGTTGCGTTTTAGCATTGTGTCTTACTTTTTTTAGCCTTTCTTTGATGTCTTCAGCCCTTCTTTCGACTTAATGTTCTTGCGTTTTCTTTCAAACCATTCTTTTTAGATAAACTTCTCTTTATGAACAATGTCGAAGTGTTTAGTCTTTAGAATTTACTTTGAATCAATAGTTAGCACATGTCTTAGGATCAATCTGATCGATCATGTGAGAAAGTTAGATTTGAAAGATCAGCGGTTGTTTATCAATTTTCACGGTAAACAACTTATTATGAAGTATTTTTTTAACTTTTCAAGTATACTCATGTTGCTGAGTTTTACAATTATTCCTTATTAGTTTTGATGAAGTTTAGTTTTTAAACATATTTATGTTGTTGAATTTTGTAGTTGTTTAGATAAATTGTTACTTAAAAAAATATTATAATTTATGTTGTTGAATTTATTTATATAAAAGAATTATTATTTTGTATCTCATTAATTTTTTTAATAAAAAATAATAAATGTAAAATACTAGTATTTTTTAATAACAAAATAAATATGTGAAATACTCGTACTTTTTATTTTTATAGAAAATATAAATATTAAAAAAAGGGTAATGATAACTTGTGCCCTGGGGGTACATGTTAAAAAACCCACAAATAAAAAATATGTATGGAAAAAAACAATAAAATTATTAATTATAAGGTTTTATTAAATTTATTATACAATTTTCAAGAATTATTTTCTATATTTATCTCTTAACTTGTGCCTCAAGGACACAAGTTAGCATTACCCTTAAAAAAGTATTAATAAATAAATGTAGATTTTACGAAAATCCGTGGAGAGCAAGGATCCACGGAAAACAAGAATATGGATAGGAACTCTTTCGTGCCGAGAATCAGTGTCGTAGATGCAAAATGAATTTGGTGGCGGGAATAAAAATGAAAAGTATCCTCGTTTCCCATTGGCATTTCTAGTTTCACATTATTCTTTAATTGCTTTAACTGGTTCAATAAAAAGTTAAATTATATACTAATAAGTAAAAGTTTTAATTATAGTTTTGCTTATCCTTTTACATATATTTAAATTAATTTCTCTATTTTAAATTTAAACATTTTTTTCTTTTGACACCTTAAATTTTTGCACAAAAAATTAATAGTATATTTATCTTTTTAACTATACGTATAAGTTATATATTTTATTTCTAAAATTTACCAATGTTTTATGATCTTCATCTATCATTTTGTGTAATGAAAATCTTTTTTAATAACATGTAATTTATATCTTTTATTTATTATTTATAAAATTTTCTTCATCTAAATAATGAAGTGAAAATATTTCTTCATCTATTATTTATAAAATTTTACAAAAATTCTTCTATGATAACTTTTTATATTTCACTAGAGACATGTTATTTAAAAATAGAGACATCATAAAATTTTACTAAAAAAAATGAAAGATATTCAAAATTATTTTAGTTTCAAATAAAGTTATTAATTGCACGAATGAAGTAACATATGAGATCAAAAGGATAGTTAAATCTAAATAAAAAATAAACCATAAAAATTAGTTGAACTAAATGTGATGAAATTAGTTCAATTTGGTTTGAGTGAGTGACTATGGTTTAAATGAAATATTATAAATTATTAGCAATGTTAGCTCAACCTCCTTAACCTTATAGTAGAATGGTTGCACGACTATATATGACATTTCTCTTTTATCATCCTAAAACATTTCATGATCCATGGAGAGAGGAAAAAGTTAAAATTGTCTTAACTTATTAAATAATATACAAATATATTATTTAGTTTTTAAGTGTACGCGTATCAAATGACCTCCATAATATGAGGGGGAGGAAGTGTATATATAATAATAAACGCTTAAAAAAGAAGTTGACTCGAAGTTAATTTATTAATCATTCAGAAAAAGAAAACACGGATACACATACACAGTTGGGGAGTGCCACCCCATCCAATAAAAACGAGGAAAGAGATCCGTGATCCCTTTAGAAAAAGACACTTCTTTTTTACTCAAAATAGGACATTCAACAGTGAAATTGAGTTTACAGTACAAATTCTACTTCTACTCCAGATTAATACTATCACCCAAAACTCCCCTAAACTCTTCCCTTCTTTTCAATTCAACTAAGAAAAAGTAATAACTCCCTTTTTTTTACTCCAGACAAATTCATACTTCATGCATCATAATAATAATCAACTGTTTCCATAAAATCATTTCTGATTTCAATTGCCTGAAGCTAGTTGATAACTGTGCAAGAACGACATATACTTTTCTGTTTCTTGTTTACTAAAACGTCGGGACGACGCCGTAGGGGGAGTCGATTAAAAGTGATGCAGGGACGGTGAGAGGATCTGCAGGGTTGTTATAGAGACGGTCTACATCCGAGTCAATTTCGGTTCGTTTCGCGAACCGGCCTTTGATTCTAGGCCGGGTTTCTGCATAAGCTTTTCGCGAAGCGTAACGAATTGTTTTTTCAAATTTACGATTCTTCCTCTTCTCTCTGTATCTCAGAACCCTCGCTTCACGATCTATTCCACATAATTGAGTTGCTCCTTGCACCCCTTGGTTATTGCTACTCACACCACCTGACACCATTGATTCCGAGCCGAAAGTGTATGAAAACTCCGATACCACGTTCCCGTCCGGCACCACTCCAACGTCAAGCGAAGAAGAAGAAACCTGCTTATATGAAATGAAATAATTGTTAATAAATTTCTTAACGAAGTTAATTACGTTAATTAAGTGATTAATTGAAACTTACGCTTTGGCTAATAGAATGTGATGGATAGTTAAACGAGGATAGCTTCGATCTGCAAAAATCGATGTCGAAGCAAGCTTCTGAGTTGTGAAGATTCATCATCGGTGCATGAGTAGGTTTGTTTTGAACCGGAACTACGCTATCGTTTATCGCGTTGCAATTATTGTTCTGGAAGTTGTTCGAGTAATCGAAATCGAGAAACGGATCCATATCGGAGAAGAACATCTCTCTGGTTTTGATATCTGGAGTTTCGGAAAATTTAGATCCGAAATTCGGATTCGGAATCAGCCACGCAGATGCTTCGGCCTCGTCTTGGCTGAAACCGTCGTCGGTAGGTACAACGAAATTGAAGGAAGCGGCAGCGGCGGCAGCGGCGGAGGAGGATTTCACGACGGATTCGGCAGAGTCGAAGAAAGGCTCGACGGGGACACGCTCGTGGCGGCGGGAGAGTGGATTCGCTGAGTGGATGTCAGAATCGCACGTGACGCAGAGAGCAGCGGCGTCAGCTTTACACGTGACGGAGGCTGGTGCTTGTTCGCAAACTTCGCACATCCACACGCGCTCATGGCGCGTGGAAAGCTTATTCCCAGAATGAATCCTGGAATCACAGTTGATACATAGAAACGCGGTATCAGAATGGCAAAAAAGCGCGGCAGAAGAAAGCTTGCAAGAATCACAAAGCTTAGGTGGCACACTCCAACCGCTTCGAAAACTCTTAAGCCCTCCCCCTGCTCTTTCAATACCCATGCTCCTCACACTAATAACAAAACAACTTTTATTGTTTTGTTATAAGTAAAGTTATAAACGCGCTTATGATAATAAGTGCTTATTTGAAGAAAAGAAGAATAGGTAAGTTTGAATGAACAATGTATGAAGTTGGGTGACTAGTATGATTTCTTTGGGTGCTGTTTTTCTAATATCTATAGTCAAGTGACTGGTCATAGAGAGGAAATCTAGGTAATAACAAATGAGAACATGACACGTGGGTGTATATTGGCCAAGTAAATGGGTTCGCTGAAAACAAAAGTATTAAAATAGAGATATATCTATTAGGGAGTAGTAGTTTTCATCGTGTTTTGTCTGTGCCGACGTGGGACCTCAACGGACATTGGATGCAATCAAGCTATGCTATGCATTCAGTAGATTGATTAATCCGATTCAATTGTCAGTTTTAGTTTTAAATAATTTTAGTTTCGTTTAATCTCAGTTATAAAGGATCGCGACAATTTCTATTAAAATCAGCGTTAACTATTACTTAATCAATTAATTATTCATCATAATTTACATTTATTTTTTAAATATGAGTAGTAATAATAAAGTATATAAAAAGTACACGAGTATCAAGGTCATCTCTTATCTGAAACTATCAACTATCACAAGTAAAAGAAGAAGAAAAATTAATGAAGACCAAATTTTAGTTTTATGGTGTTTGAAAAATGAAATAGCATATTTTCTTCATTTTGTCAATCATAGACCTAAATATTGAACCAGAAAAAATCATATGCCTAAATACTAATCGGGAGACAAGGATTGAGAAGAGGCGACATGCTGAAGCTGGCACTAAGAGCTGACAACCGGCTCACATGGGATTAAACCAAACACTATAGATATTTTTCTCATAAATGAAAATTATGGTCTTCAATAATTCAAACTATTTATTTAATTCATTTGCAAGTTAAATGTTTTTTAAAATATATTAGTTTTTTCTATTTTTTTTAATGACTTAGGCTCTATTCGATAAACTAGTTGATAGCTGATAAGTTAATCGGTAGCTGATGACTAATAGTTGATAGTTTATAGTTGATAACTGATAATTTATAGTTGATGATTTATATCTAATAAACTAATTTGAGTGTTTAATAAATTAATCGTTACACTAACTAACTGATAAATGCAAAATGACATAAAAAGACATTTTTAATTAAGAAAGTTAGTGATCTTATTTATTAAATTAATTTTTATTCAATAAAAGTATATATATTAAAAATCAAATGCAAAATATTTTAGATAAAAATATAAAATTAAAATAACTCAAAAATATATTAAACACTTATACACAGATTTTATAATGAAATTTAAATATCTAAAATAATAATATTGTAATTTAATTTTATATTTTAGTAAAGTGCATTTTTTTTTAATCCATGATATGTCTATTAGCAAAAGAATATATTCAATGATACAGTATCATATTGATAAAAATAATATTGATAAAAATAATACATTAATAATAAACACTCAAGTAATAAATTATTAAAATAATAATTTAAGAGTAAGAAAAAATAAATCAAAATATTCTATTTAATAATAAAATGGAAGATGAATTGTACCGTGGATTTGTTTGGTAAAAATAAAGACTAACATTTTTATTTCTTGAACTAAAACATAATTATTTTAATTTAAATTATTATAATATAAAAGATAAAAATGAGTTTTTGATAAAATAGTAAAGATATAAATAGAAGAAAAAGTTATAAGTTAAAAATTATAAATTCAAAAGTTAATTCAAATAATTTTTGAAAAAAAAGATAAAACTAATTAAAAAATTAAAAATTAAAAAACAGTTAACAAGTAGAGTTTTTTTTATTAATATAAACTAAAAAGATAAAAATTATAAGTTAAAAACTCTTATCAAACCGGCTATTAGAAAACGTGTAAATACTTGTGAAAGTAGCATTTTTTTTATAAATAAAATATAAAAGGCTTCAACTATGCGGTTAAATAATTCAATTGTATGCTACGATACCATCATTCCCTACGTAAGCATGAAGATTAACCTCATTGAATAATAAGTGAAAGACAATCTATAGTATTCTATCCGTTCGATGATCATTTAAAAATCTTGCGCACAAATAACAAATTAAAATATATAATAATATTGTTATAAGATATTGAAATTGAATAATTAATTTTATAAATACATGATAATAGTGTACAAAATAATAGATAAAATTAAAAAATATATTAATTATTTATACAGTGAAAAATGACAATAAATTTTATTTTAATATAATTTAATTTATTAAAACAATTGTTATTTTAAAATAGATGGAGTACATGATACCAAATAATTCTGTCCATTTTTCGGTTAAATTATGTTTTATCTTAGACATCCATCAGTTTAAAAAATATGCATAACTAATTGGTATCCATCTTGTTGTATATTTTTTATAAAATTAAACATAATATCACCCGTTAAGAAAAATGGTATCCATCTTGTTGTATATTTTTTATAAAATTGGTATACATTAATTTTGATGAAAGTAATTCTGGATCAACGCTTGTTTGTTCCTAACCATTATCAAAAGAATCAGATATGCATATTAAACTGTAACAGAACGAATTGCAATGATGAGAAACAAATCAATATGTTTTCTAAAATAATGATTGAAAAATTTATCACACTAAGATAATCAATTTCCAATGAAATAAGAAAAAAAATTAACAGTTTATCACACCAAGGTGATTTTCTGTTGTATTGATGATATGAAACATCAAATGCAACTATTTAGATTGTAACTATCTTACTAATTTTTAGTTTGAATAGTTTCAACACAAACAAAATTATCAATGTTGTAGACTGTATAAAAATTTGAATTAACAAATTATAAAAATATATATATATATATATATATATATATATATATATATATATATATATATATATATGAGAGAGAGAGAGAGAGAGAGAAAGAGAGAGAGAGAGAGAGAGAGAGAGAGAGAGAGAGAGAGAGATAACACAAGAATTTATTTAGACAGTTCCTAGAGAGAGAGAGAGATAACACAAGGGTTTATTTAGACAGTTCCCCAATTGTCCTCACTATGGGTACGTCTGCCCCCAATTCCTAATAAAATTGAGATACTCAATTAACACCAATGATGTGATCTTCATTTATCAGCTTGGACAGACCAGCTTTTGGCTTTGTTTCTTCTGATGATGTATCTGATGAGTAGTTCAGAAACTACTTTGGTATGATAGCGTAATAACATCAGAGTCTGACTTCAGCACCTAGTTTATCAGAGTTGATAGCAACAACTTATCTGATTAACACGTCTTTATCTGGGTGAAGCTGCATAATCTTCAACTTCAGAATCTAGTCTTCAGAGTCTTTCTGCACTTGGTCTCAGAGCCTTCAGCCTTCAGAGCTTCAAGTCATCAGAGTCTTCAGCACGTAGATCTTCAGAGGATTATATCTTTAGAGTCTTGATCTTCAGAACCCTTAACTCTTCAGAGTCTTTATGCACTTGGTCTTCAGAGCATTCAGCCTTCAGAGCTTCAAGTCATCAGAGTCTTCAGAGCTTGGTTCTTCAGAGGACTATATCTCAGATGCGTTGATAGCATCCAGATCAGATACACTTCTTAGTGCAGAATCTACAAGAGCATTGCTACTGCAATATACAGCATCTTTGAATCTTTCTGATCGTGAACAGATACAGAGGAAAACTTGCTTCTTTAATAAGCGCTTTATGTCACATCACACAAAGTAACTCCATATTGAATTTAATGCACTTCTTGATATTGTTTGTTGATTTGATATCTTTATTTAACGATCTGCACACAACAAACATTAGAACATAAAATGGTTCTTTCACAAATACTTAATTGTTATCATCAAAACATAGAGATAACATGTAGAGACAATTCTTGCTCTTACAACCTCCCTTTTTTTGATGATGACAAAAACATGTATTTTGATAGAACATTTTATACAGGGTAATCACCAAGCATTAACATATTCAGAGTTTCAAGCAACAGCTCCCCCTGAATGTGTTAACCTCAAAAATTCTTTTTATGCTTGTTCAGAGACTTTCTCTGATCCTAAGACTCACAAAATAGAAATATTTAAAAAACAAAAAACAAATAGAAGATAAGGAATACTTCACTACGATATAAGAGAGCATAAGTATTTAGCATCTGGACTAGTTCAGCAGAACTTCCATCTTCAGATCTTTAGCACTTGTTTTCTCTAAACATTGTATCAGAGCTGTATATCTTCAGAGTCTTCTAGAGCATTTGCATATCCTGAATTTCAGACTGGGTGAAAATCAAATATTCTGACTTGTTAACCTTTCTGGGTGAACTCCCCCTGGCTACAATAGGTCATATATTTAGATCTTCAGAACTCCCCCTGAATCTGATACTAGTTCTTTGATTCTGAGTCTGAGACCAATTCTTGCTTTTATGAAGATTTCTGATTCTTATGCTCTGATTATCATATTCACAGACAGTTTACATCTTCTGAACATTATGATACCAAAATCAAGATGAGTTTAACTTTCTCTTGAACAGTATTGGGTCCATCTGATTCTGAACTAGTATGTTCACGAAGTGTATAACTTCGATTATATTAACAACCAGTTCATTTGAACTCAGAGTTCATTCATTTGACCTGTCTTTAGAATGCCTAGTGGACTTGTTCAGAGTTCCTTGGTAAAACATCAAATATACAGTTAGTAATAAACGTATTTTATATCAGAGTTGATGTTTTGCATTCTCTTTAGGTTATATCAGATTATATTCTATTTCTTCAAATAATATCAAAATCATATTCTATTTCTCCCCCTTTTTGACATCATCAAAAAGGTGAGTTTTCTTTAAAAACGAGATTTAAAAAAAATTCTATTTCTCCCTCTTTTTTATCAGAATTTAAAAAAATTGAATTAATTGAGTTAAGAAATAAAACCTGAGTGCCTAATTCTTATAGGTTGACATCTTTTCCAGAATTTGTTGAAGCATGCACAGAAGA